AAAAAAAAAATTAAAATTACAAAAATAAATAAAATAATAATTTTAAAAAATTCTAATCCAAAAAAATTATTTCCTCCCCTGCTCTGGTCTGCAGTGCACATTCGGAGCTTGTTGGGAGCACTCCATCAGGGAAACGACTCGCAGCCAACCCTGAGGCTTGGCTCTGGCTCCTAAGGTCCTGCTTACCAAAGCGGGTCCAACTGATCCCCGGCCTTGCGCAGGCAATTAGTGCCGGTCAGAGGCTGGCCAGCAGCACACATGAAGAGTTATACACAAATCTGCACCACCTGAGAGGAAATTTTCCCAGATCGGATGCACAGCTGCAGAACGGCAGTGGCATAGATATTCTGTGAAAAAAAATCAGGGCACGGTGCATTTCAAATTCAGCTTATTTGTACTTCCTTATGCCAAAATTATAACGACGTAAGGAAAGGGAACTTGTATTGATGCATGTTACAATTTATCATTGAAAAAGAAATCAAGATTTAACCTCTGTTTTCCCAAAAGCAAGTCTGGAAAAGCACCATGTAGACAACTAAAGTGCCCTCCAGGGCCAGACCCTCAGGTTTTTAAGACCAGAATCCCAAGACTCTTACGATCTGTGAACACAGATTTGTGCTTTTTGCTCCCCTTTGCACAAAGCACCTCCACAACATTTCCTGAGTACAGACCGTGACTTCTCCCAATGCACAAGCAATGTATATACACGCACAAATAGGTCGTGTGATGAAAGGTCATGCAACAATTATATTTCCTTACTAAGTACAGTGAAAGGCACTTCTATGGAAACCAAAAATTAGGACAGGATTTCCACATTAAAACCTTCTAGACTATGCAAAGCAGCTACATCATTCTTTAAAAAAGCCCTTGTGAGCGGGAGTTCAAGCACTGACAGCAGGATTGAATTCTGATGATCACTTTAAAGAATTACATTTTTAAATGCTCCTTTTTTATTAGTACACCTAGAAATTCAATTTACCAAAGTCAGACAAATCGGAGCCTAAAACATGGACAAACAGTATCTTATGTATTACTGCATCTACTGCAAAACAGAATCCTCTCTTAAAGACACCTTCTGCTGGATATCTATCAGTAAAATTTCATTAAACCTAAACGTTTTCAGTGCTAAGTTTAGACAGACCGATACTAAATATTTAAGGTGGCATAAGATTTAAATTTACCAAATCTAAGCAGACTCAGCAAAGAGCCCTCTTTCTCACTACACACTCTTGGCTTATTCTCTTTCAGATGGATCCATGCATCTTACTGTTCAATAAATACAAGAAGAAAAGAAAGGCAATAATATGCTTAGAACGTTTCCATTTACTTACTATGTACGTACATGTAGTACATGTACATATAATAGTACATACGTGGTAAGTAAATGGAAATGTTCTGAGCATTTTAGTAGCATGGTTCAGTTGGAAAAGCACTCAACAATTCACTCCTACCTGTGGTCCATTCCATTACAAAAGTGACTTCCCTAAGCCTGTAACAACAGCATCTTCTGAATTTGTAAAGCACAACGCATTGCTCGGTTGCAAATAAAGCTTACTTATAAAATATCTGGGTTATTTCAGAATATAATAATGGGTAGCATATAAACTGATGCAATACATATTATTTAAAATTCATGAATGTCATACATACACATTCAAAATAGATCCTTTTCCACCCATGCACACATACAAATGACAAGAAGCCTGTTTTAAGCCTCTAATACTTTCAATCACTGACAATTAGGTAAAATATATTGCCACTAATAAGCCACATCTAGAAAGAACATGCACCAAGCCAAATCCTCTACCCATCAAAAGCCTGGAACAGGGCACAAAATGCATTTGGACCACTAGGAAAAAAGCACGAAGAGCAGCAGATGAAGCAGTTAATTCTCAAACAGCTCATTTATGTGTTCAAATTAGGCACAGGGCAATGACTGAATTAATTATACGGCCATAAAGCAGACTGCTACCTAGAGAGAGAGCACAAGCATCATTTCTCCTGGTTTCTGATGTTTTCAGAATGCAATAAAAAATGAACACAATCCCTTAGCATATTAAAAGGAATTGACATTAAAGAGGACTTACTGCTATTCTTTGAAGAGTCATTTTGACAGATGTCCATGTATCCAGTCTTCTGTCCAGGATCAGGATAAATTTGGTGTCAGACTCATGTTGACTACAAGATAAGAAAACACCAAGTAGCCAGACAGCATCTGGAGGGAGCGCAACTGCTCTGAGAAAAGCCCAGATGCAGCAACACCAAATACAAATTACATTCCAACCCTCTTCCAGTTCCTCACGTGTCCATGTTTCCCAGGGCGATTCCAGAGAGAAATTCAGTAGTTCCACCTCACCACCAGCGTGGCCCTTGAGATGATCACCACAAGGTCCTCAAGTGCACTACCACCAAGGAGCACCCGGAATGCCCATGGTCCTGGTGGATTCCTATCCATAATTCCAGTATTTASTGAGGAAGCTAATTACACCTCTCAGCAGGCTCAGCGTGGTGACAATACTGACCCCACACATGGCCTGAACTACAAACTGGATCCATGTGTGCACATGGGCAGGTAACCCAGCCCACCAAGATGAGGGTATTTACAGGCTCAATGGTTAATATTGACATCTGTCCTGTAGTTCTGGGCAAGCTCCCTCTGCCAAGAGGGACAAGCAGATCAGGTGTCACCCTACCCATCACCTCAGGGCTGCAGAGCAAGCACACACCAGAGCTTGCTCTAGATCGTGTGGGAATGACCTAATGAAAGCACCTGCCCTGGGCAGCATCTTAAGTAATTCCTGTGTCTGGCAAGTGAAAACACCTGGTGCTTCCTCAGAGCCATTACTCAGAGCAATCACGTGGCAGACAACACTCGGCAACTTGACTATTTAAGGAGTCATTTAAAGCCAGTACATGAGTATCCATTCTATGTACAACCTACTACTGAAGTAAGTGATAACTGCACTTAAGTATACTTAAAAGTATGCTGATAGCAAAAATAGTTATAATAATTTTGGCCCACAACTGCAGCTGGCTGAAGACAGGCAGAAGCATCCAGCTCCCCAGCCCTCCTATAAATACTTCCATGGATCTGGAGCATCACACTCAAAGTGCAAAGCTTTCATGCATATCCATAATTCATGTAGGGTCACTGCAGCCTTCCAGAAAGGAGGACATTGGCAGGATATTTAATACAAGCAATGTTTGCACGCAGTGAAGTCTGAGGTAGGTTCATACATTATGATTGTGAATAAGGCACAATTTTCCAGCCAAAACTTTTTGCAGCCAAAACTTCTGGCAACATTAGAAGATTCTGCATGTTTGTGTCAGGTCTGTTGACTCCCTCACCAGCAGYTAAAGATCAGGGGCAAGAAGGGGTCAAAAGGATCCTTTGGTTTTCAGTACAAATAAAACTGGTTGACTTTTCAAAGTAGGAGACTTCCAAGGGTGCACTTCTGATCACAACAGTTCCCCATGATATTTCACGCCCAGCTGCAATTCAAAATAAAATATTATTTACGCAATGCTGTTGTCAGCCTAACTCCCAAAGGGAAAAAAAAGAAAACCCAAGCAATACAGAATAGGCAGGCAGACAATATTACATTGTCAGCTGGCAAAAGTACGCCAGAGGATGTTATTTACTCAGGATGAGATACAYTCAGAGAGCAGCCTCCCAGCAGGTTAATTTACTTTTACAAATTTACTTAACAGCAAAAAGAAAAAAGTTCCAAAGTAAACAAAATCCTGAAGTTTGGGATGTTTAAGTTTATTCTGGGGCTAGCCAAGGAAATCCATGGCTGTTTGCAAGCCAGGGAGTATCGGATTTCCAGCCCTGCCATGTACCTTGTAGACTGACAATAAAAATAAATCAATGCGCCCTCACAGATGTTTGCAAGACCTGAATTTATTTGCATCCAGCAGCACGAAGATGGAGATGGATAATGGGACTGGGGCATTAGTTCTCCCCGGGTGCTTCCTGTCCCTTTTTTTTTTCCTTACCCTGTACTTTGTATGAGTTACAAGATACACCGGGCTAAAAATAAAACGTGTGATGTTTTGCAGGCGGACTCGAAATCGGATCCCTGGGTCTGCAGTCGTGAGATTTGACGCAGCACCAAGAGACTCCTTGCGGCCGGACAGATCAGAGCACGCGCGCGGGACCCGCTGCACGGTGTTTAAATGCAGAATTATTTATAGCCAGCAACCCCCTTCGCCCTTTCATTACTGGGTGTCATTGGCCGTGGCTCTAAATCACTTTGTACTTCCCGACGCTAAGGAGATATGCAAAGTGTGTCCAAATGTGCAGCAGCTCTATAACCTGCCCCGAGGCTGCCCCGCTCTCGCAGCCCTCGTGCCCGCACTCGCTTCTCCTTGCTCCTGCTCCACAGTGTCCTTGCCTCCCCAGTGCTACAAAGCCCATGCTGGATGTCACAGCCCACACAAGTCCAGCCACGCCAAGGAGCAGGGAGCGGGATCAGGAGCCCCTTCTCTTCCTCCTGGATAAACATATGGTGCGTTCTCCAAGGCGGCTGCCCATGGGAAGGTCACATTTAGCAGCCATGAACCTGCTCTCCAACACAACCACAATGGGAGTCACCGAGCTCTGCTGAGCAATGGGTGCAGAGGGACAATAAACCATTTTGCTTCTGTATTTATCCTCTTTATCCACTTACATTTCCCTTTTTCCACAGCAATGTGCTTTCTATTTGTCACATCATAATATTACTCAGCAGTGTACTTAAGCATCACACTTAAGCGGCAACACATGTCAAAGCTTAAGGACAGCCTGATATTAATCAGAAAATAAGTTAAATTTGTGACACACGCAGGCTGACGAGCAATGGGGATGTGTCCAGCCTTTCCTCTGCACTTTTTGGGGCATTAAACACTGCTCTTGAGCATCTCAAGGCTCATCGCTGACCATCCTCCTCCTCCTTGTCTGAAGGGTGGGAGATGCCCCTGGTCCAAAGGCTCTGCACGCCCGATGCCAGCGGGACGAGCACCTCAGCCCGCAAAACCTGGGAGCGAGCGACGTACCTCGGCACTGACGTCAGGTACGTTAGGACTTTGGCTCCGATCTCCTCGGGCACCTCGTTGAAGGCAGCGTTGTCCGGGAGGGTGATAATCCAGGCGCTGTCCTTCCCGCGGCCACCTGCAAGGAAGACAACAGGGATTCGTGGGATGCGCTGGCCACGAGCCTCTCGTTCCTGTTCCAGCAGTGACCGAAAAGAAACTATTTTYAAAATAGTCTTAAATATCTGCATAAAAATACCCTAATGCTGATCCTAAACATATTTCTTCTCAAAGTAATGATCACAGGATCTAATTTTGGTATTATAGTTCAAATTCTAGCACTGGTTACAAGCACAAAGCACACACAAACAGTAGTAGAAATAAYGCTATCAGGTACCATGTATTTCTTCTACTGACTGAGGATAATTTATTTCACACGGGACAGCAAAAGAAGTCAGAAATACAAAGGCAAATCGAAGAGCATTGTTTCTTGAACCTATAAAAATATATTTAAAAGAAAAATGACCTACACAAACATATTTCAAAGAAAAGAGCTCACTGAGGCATTGAAGGTTTCTGAAGATCAGAGCATTTTACAGTCTGGTTTGAAACAGAAACCTAATACACTTTTTCAAGCCACCACAATGTTTTATTAACAACATTTCTAGCGGCACTGGCAACTACCTGATGGACAATATCCCACGTGGAGTATCATTTTCCCAAACAGTGCATAAGTTCATCTGGGGTATTTAATTACCGTGCACGGCGAACCTGGAGGGGTTGACTGGACTCACCAGAAAGAAAGGCAAACCCCTTCATCAAATCATCACTGATGTCCTTCGCACAGAYGGGCGGCGTGGCTTCTGGAAAAGGCAGAAGCAGCGATTAGAAAGGCAGCAAAAATGCAGAGCTCGCGATTTTATCCGCTGTGTAACCTGAAGGGGAGAGGTAAACCAAAGGGAGCTTCCCAAAACTATATATCAAGTATCACAAGTAAAAAATATTGTGTACCTCAAAAGCAACGTTTCTAATGATTCCAACAGCACAAATGCCATAATTGGGAAAGTAAATATATTCTGTCCAATGTCCTAAGAGAGAAACATCTGAAAGTTGAAATGTTCTCTGCTCAACAGGCTATTCAATGTAATTTTTATATTCTCAAGTTACAAGTTTTATTCCCTTAACTCCCCTTCTTCTTTCTAAACTTGGCGATAGGAGCGGCCAAAGCTTYTGCTGGGAGCAGCAGCACCACAGACTGAATGAGGTTGAGTTTTTGTACTGCTTGAGCCTTTAATTTGAGCAAATAAGCTGAGATTGGCCGGGCTGTTTGCACTGGCATGAGGCCGCAGGCCCTGGAAGGGCTCTTGTTGTTGCGCTTGGTTATTAGATTTCTTTTTAATTAAATAATGGGAGAGGCTGCTACAAGGCCACAGCTAGCACTGTGTGCCCATTGCAGCGCCAAGGGCGCGCAGCAGAGCAGCACACACCACCTTGCTCTATGGGAAGCAAGCAGGACACACTCGGCCAACACAACAGCAGCTTGTAGCTGCCAGGCCTTCTGCATCATCTACACGTGGAATTGGAGCTCGAAATCAAACAGCCTTGTTCCTGCAAATGAATGCTTCGAAACGTGTCTCTGCAGATTAAAATATTCGCACTTCCTGAAAAATCCGTTTTAAACACCAGTCGCTCTGCAGAGCTGGTCCCAAAACTTTTGGCTGTTTTCTATAAACCTTTCTGCATACTCAAAAAAGTCACTTACATTTGTCCTAAGGAGCTTTCAGTCATTTAATGGGCTGCACTGAATCGCAGGTCCACCACGTCTAGGGTACTCTGCCTTCTCCTAGTCCTATTCCTCCCCGACTGTTCCCATTTTTTTCTGCACACTTTGCTATTTTGCCTCTTGCAGATAAAAATGTTATTTTTGTTCCTTAAGGATCAAGCCTCAGCGCACTGACAGCTGCAGTAACRTTCTGGATTTTAGCAGGCCCAAGAAGTCTTCTCTGCAAGAGGGGAAGTTATATTTTGCACAACGATTTCAAGTATTTCTCCTTCGAATAAGTGCTGCAGCTTGAGAAAAAGCAGTGGTAGCCACTGCATAGGGAAAAGCGGGGGACTTTCCACACCTCTGGTGGTTCCTGTGAAGATGCCACCATGGACGCAGTGGGAAAAGTCCTGCCCCATGCCACAACACCCACGTGTGACTCAGGAAAACGCTGGAGTAAAAGCAAACACGGCTCCAGCTGTACAATACAGGTGGCATTTGCAGCCTCGCCAGGGGAGAACCACAGCTATGGGATGGATGGCCACAAYGCTCTCCTTGCACATTGGAAATGACCACAGAGGCACCAGGAGGGAGCAGGTCTGGCCACTCATAATTTCCAGCATGGACCTTGTTCTACACATTTTTTTTTTTTCCTATGAAAGTCTTATCCTTGACATAGGCATGAGAATAGGGACCCAGATCTTACCCTTGATTTTAGCACAGAAATGGAGCCCCAGATTCCTACAGCACATTCAGAATTTCAAGCTCCTCACTTTTAAGGGACCTCATTTTCAGAAGAGGGCACTTGCTGCCTTCGGAAAATCCGGCCCTTCTAAGCAGYTTCTATTATGCACCAAAATAACAACCCATTTGAGGAAAAAACTGGGCAGGCGTACTTTGCTTCAAGCAGAAAAGGATTGGAAAGCAGAGACTTCACAACCGYCCCAAGCTTGAGAAGGGAAGAGAATCCGGCAGCCCCAAAGGCATAAGAGCTACTTGCACAACAGCACGCCGATTGTACCGCTTTACAGGCGCTCCTTGCCACAACAACATGCCGATTGTACCCCTTGCAGCCAACCCCTCTCCGGCACTTGGCTGGCATCATCATCAAATTGAACTTCCTGGACAAATGTTGGGGAAAATAAAGTGCTGGCATCAAATTCACAAGCACGCTGCTGTACCCGTGATGCATCCAAGGGGTGTAACTATAAACCCTCTACAGAAGCTTGGCTTTTGTCCTAAAATATTCCTCATTGGCAAAGGAACAGTGAAGAGCAAGGGGGCATCGGAGATGAAGGTCTTTCCAAGAAGGTCTCAGCGGATGTTCATTAGCAAGCTGGTGGCTAAGGAGGACATCCTGGGGGCAGGACCCACATATTGCACAGCGTCAGCCACGAACAGCAGAGCTGCTACAACGGGCCCTGTGCAAGCTACAAACACCAAGTCAATAGAGCAGTGCCAAAACCACAGGAGTTTTGTCCCAAAACTACCAGTTGCATGTGGGCAAGGGAGTTTAGAGTTGCTTCTTGTAGGTCCACAGGAGCTGCAGTTGATGTGAAGCAGGTAGAGCCTTGATGGCTGTGAGATACTGCCCGTCAAGGAGCCTTCGGAAATCACTGCTCCCTCCAACTTTGGGGACCTCGAGCTGCACCTCGCTTKGCAGGAGGAGGCAAAAGTCAAGGTTTCATGCAAGTCTGCTCTTTTCCCTTCTAAAGAGGCCTTGTGACCAGCAGTTATTATAGAAGGAAGCAGTGCTGGCAYACAGCACAGCCCAGGTCCCTGGCGGGGCAGTGTCCCGGGGCGCTTTACAAGAGACACGGCTCTCCCCACGTGGCGGCTGTGACCGTTAAACACAAACAAGCATCTGCAGAACAGGAAGATAAATTACTATCACGCTTTAGGAACTGCTCTTGCACAGGCCTTAAGCTGCATGTTTATAAAATGCTGCTGCAATTGCAGCACGTGGAGGTACAGAGCTGAAAGCTCCTCTGCTGAGGAGCACRTTGCCATGACGGGGAGTTTCTGAGGACACAGGAAGAAAAGCAGGGAAAAGACAACACAGACATTGCAAAGCTGTCTTCTCCTCTGGGAGAAATTACTGCGGCTCCGCAGGAGGCCCTGCTGAATCTGCACCCTTCACTCTCCTTTGGCTTATTCAGCCCAGGACATTTGCAGGGTCTTCTCCGTATGTCAAAGGCTTTGCAAAAACTACTGTTGTAGGAGCAGCATTTCTTCTTCAAAACAGTCCATTTCAAGGCAATTTGAGCATGGAGGAGCATCCGGGTACAGGCAAAGCAAGCCCAGGGAAACTCGGAGAGACGCCAGCTCAAGTCCAAGTTCAGATTCCACCTCATTACTCATAAAACACAGCAGCCTGGAGACTCAATTAAACTCAGAGCGCTTTGCTCTCTGGTAACTATTGTTTTCTTTCCCTCCTAACCTTACAGGCCGGCACCATCTGCCAAGAGCAGCTGAGTGACACATCTGCCAAGGTGACGTAGCAGCTCCTCRCACTGACAGCACTGACCAAATGTTGTCTGCAACTACAAAATGCATTTGGGGATGGCGAGTGAAGAATAACAGCTTTTTATGAGAGGGCTCCTGCCATCGTCCGGAAAACAAAACTGAACTAAAACAAATAAAAAGGGTAAAGGAGAAGGTTCAGCTTTTCCATGAATTGCTCATTCCCTGCTAGTTGCCCTGTCGGGCATCTCCACTCCCAGAAGCAGCATGTTTGGTGCCAAGGGAGCCTGCAACTGTCAAATTTGCCTGCTGCTCCTGTTAAATTTCTTCCACGTTGTAAAATAAATGAATTGTGAGTTGTTCTTTATTTGAGGACTATTTATTTGAGACTATCCTATAGTCTGTCCCTCTTCCTCAATGCTGGCAGCACCYTGGAGCAGGTTCCATAGCAATGCAAGTACTGGATGGTCTGATCTGGTTATGGCCAATGAGGCTAGCTGCCTTTTTGCATCACGCCTAACGAAGCAAAAATTGGAGAAAAGCCGGCTCAGCTATATATGAATTTATATTTACCACAAGAAATGTAATAAAAGTTTCTCAACGCCCACTTTGTGGATTTAAACCAAATCAGCGTGTGGGAGTTGAGAAAATGTAGTTTCTTGCACTCCTTAAACTTATGTCTGAGCTTCAACAGGCTTTCACTTCTCTTCCATTCCCAATTCTGGCCCTCTGCACTTAAGGGAAATTCAGGAAAGAGCCCGCAGGTGCTTTGCCCATCTGCAGGAGCTGCCCTTGCCAGCTGGGTAGAGGAAGGTGTGCTCAGAACCGGCCATCAGCGCCCACGTGCAGCAGCATTACCTCCAAAACGTACCACCTGCAGCTCCAAAGACTCTGCTGCTGAGCCAAATAAGAACACGCAGACATCAATAACATCCACATAAGAACATGCAGACCTCAATAACATCCACATTGCCACTCCATGTCATGCAAGTGCCACTTCTCCAAGGCAAATACCAGCTCTGCACCCAGCTGAAGCAAAGCACGTGCTTGAGCAGGAGCTGTGGACACGCAACAGCAGCAAACCCTCACACCCAACTCCAGTTCCAGGTTTATATGCCTGGAATTAAGTTCATTGAAGTCAACGAAATGATTTATTTGCTTTCACAGCTCAGGCAGCCGGGAAAATAAACTGCATGTCCTCRTTCCCACAGTGGCATAAGCAAGGAACTCTGTTGCAAAGTTAGAGAAATTAAAARCAATTTTCCCAAATTAGAGCTGAAAATTCTCACTTCTGTCATTCCAGCGTTGAGCAAAGGCAGGGCAGGTAGATCTCCTGGAGCAGGCCCAAGCAGTGGCGAGGAAAGCGGGCGAATATTGCTAGCAGTTGTCACCCGTCACCCACCCCTTTCCCGGCTGGACCATCCAAGGAGKAGCACGTGGCCAATGGCACCATGCTGGCATCCCAGACACACGCAATTCCCGGGACACAGCCCTGCCCAGAGCAGTCTACCGGGGCGGACAGGGTGGTGGGAAAGCTCCCTCGCAGCCTGCCCAAGATCCCCGACTCAGCTCCACTGCAAAGGCAGTTCCAGCATTGCCCCAGAGGAAAAGGC